GGTTTACCATCATAATCAATCTTTCCATCATTGTTTTTGTCTCCATCTTTCATCAGCTCCTCAATATCATCTTCAGTTATCGGTTCTCCGGTGGACTCCAGCATGCTCTTCAGTTCCTCTAAGTCAATATAACCATCTCCATTCCTTAACAAAAGGCAAGGCAAGTTTATCTTTATAGCACAATTCAGTACAAGGACAATTTAAAGTGATTTACATGAATGAAACTAAAAAATAAAAGGAAAATAAAAGCACAATAAAAAGCAAGTAAAGATAAAAATACAGTTGAACCACAAACCACAAACTTTAATTTAACAGTTAAAGCAGTTCTAAACAAACGGGTTTTTAACTTTAACTTAAAAGAAAGGGAAATTATTAAATTAGTTAATCTCCTTATCTGTATAACCAAGTCAAATCAAAGTTTTTTTGTATTTCTTCCTCTTATTGTGAAAAAAATACGTTTTAAGCAAAACCTACTTATCAAACATGCGGAATAGTTCGGCCAGCTCCTCTTCTGATTTCCCTTTGCTCTCCTCCTTCATGCATCGGACCATCATAACCAAGAATTCATCGAAATCTACTGTGCCACTGCCTGTGAATGTAACGGTTTTATAAAACTGATTATATCATGGTAGCAAAACTAAGCAGCTCTATCTTTAAATCAGGCAGAAAAAGGTGTATTCATTGAAATGGTTACATACCATCCTCATCCACTTCATCTATCATCTCCTGTAACTCCTCAGGAGTGGGATTCTGTCCCAGCATTCTCATCACCTTCCCCAACTCCTTTGTGCTGATGCAGCCATCCTCAGCATCCTGAATGAAGATGTCAAAGGCAGCCTTGAATTCTGGAAGAAACACAAGATCACATGTTTGAAGAGAACTTTCGAGTAAAATTTGGATATATTGATACAAGAAATGTGGACTGGAGAGAAAATGAATTAAAAAATACGTAAACTACACATCCCCACAGCCAAATCAACTAATCATTAATTCAGACCAAATTTTCCAATGTTTCAAATCCATCTGATAGCATGACAAGTTCTTTTTAAAGCTCTTTAAAAAGAACTTTTCATGCTATCAATTTTTGGGTCTTCATGAGATAAGGTGATTCTATATTGCAATCACCCTTAATATGGGACTTAGTTACAACATGGTATAGCAATGTTACGATATTAAATCAACTGAACATTTTTAAAACTCACGAGTAAGTTTTAAAGCAAACTGGTTTATAGACATGACAAATGGTCTTTCTCCAAAAAAAAGAATATATATATATATGTAATGTAATCATATATATAATTATGTATGTAATTATTAAGTTATAGTATAGTACGTTTTAGTACTAATTTGTGTATTTCATTAAAAATGATCAGAATAATCAGAATATGGGACCAAAGTACTTTAATTTCCATATGTCCCAAGATGTAATATGTGTTGGAGGAAACCTGCATGTTTTATGCTACATGTGGTGCAGTATTTTTCTAGTTTATTGCTCTCAGTGTTTACTTGGATTTGTCTTTACTTTTGCTAGTTATTATTTCTGTATTATTGGTTACGTTCACTCTGTTTCTCCTTTATGTTTATCCATGTTTGAACATTTCTCCCTCAGACACAGCCTTCAGTTAATGAGAAATTTCTTCACCTTTGTTTTCATGTTGTCTGTCCTAGTACCCTGCTCTACTGTATATAAGTACTCATGCTGCAGTTACTATTCCCTGGAGCCTGTGACACCCCCCACCCCCCGTTCGTGCCTGAGTCCTGCTTCTTTACTTATCATTTATTAAATATCATTAACTCAGCATGCATTTTTCAAGAGTCTGCATTCTGATGCAAATCAACAAGTCATGACAATAAAGTTATATTTGTCCTTATTAGTATCAGATACACATCAAGTAATGTAGTCAAACATCGTCATGTTATCAGTATTATTAGTCATGTTCAGGTGTCATGTTCTCACCATTTTTCTGCTCTTCTGTCAAGTTCTCTACCTGTAGAGGAAACAACGTTTATTTTTTCCCCCCGCTGTATTTCTGTTAATCCACCTCTTGATACCACTGTGCTGAAATGAAGCCTCGGTTCTCTTGGAGATAATGGTCTTAGTTT